ACCTTTATAAAATGTATAAATTTTTTATTTAATATATACAAATATATAAACACCAGTGAATGCAGAGAAACTTACATCATCAATCTTGAGAATCATCTTTACAAGCTGTGTTGCCAATAAATATTGTTGTCTTTTTGAAATAAGAGGATCGTAAACAAATTGTTCTTTCATATCTAAACATTAAATAAAAATAAATCGAATGTTAAAAGTTTATGTAAAATTTGTGCATCATTAACGTATAAAAAATTATCACCATTAGATCCAGTCATCGTGCAATCGATACCAAGACGACTATTGTTCTCGGTCACTTGACGCGATTTAATATCAGCCAAAGTTTCTATTGGGGAAAGTCCAGAATTTTCAGCCAATGCCATAGGAATCGCGTCCAAAGCATAGGCGAATGCACGTATAGCATGTTGTTCTATAGATGATATCTTATAATAAATTGCGGGATTTATAATGAATACATAACCCGGCATTTGAAGTTTTATTAACATGAGCTATCATTATCTGCTCTTACCTGATCTGCAGCTTTAGAAACAGCAAGTGCACAACTAATTTCGGCAGCACCACCCCCATATACAACACGATTATCACGAACCAAGTTACGCACAACACAAAGAGCATCATGAGTAGCACGTTTAGCCTCATCAACAATCTATGCAAGTAAAAAATAAACAAATAATTATTTAATACCATATACCCAATTAAGAACAGAGTTGTTCACTTTAAAAATACCCACCATTTTATTGCTACCACGTACGAACACAGTGACAGCACGAGAATTTGAACATTCTTCAATAACTAGCATGCGATCCTTTGTTGTTCCAAAAGAGATCTCACGTACAAGACCAGCAACGCCAAGTTTTTCAGGTCTCATGTCTTCAAAACGTGGTACTATACGGCCGTTAGTGGCGATAGCAATTAACTAAGAGATATTGAAAAGGGATGAATGTAAGTTTCTCTGCATTCACTGGTGTTTATATATTTGTATATATTAAATAAAAAATTTATACATTTTATAAAGGT